GCTGGCACTAGAGGCACAGCATGGCCGCCTAGTAACGGCCCTGACCACTACCGCTCGACCTGACCGGAAAAAAACGTAGCAGGAAGCTAGCGAAGTCGTAGCATATATCGTCACAAACAGAACTGCCTGGTAAACCGTAGGCAAAGAGAGAGAAGAAGACAACAAACGAGGGGCTGTAACAAACTGTTTCGTCGGAGTTTCACCGACTCATCAGGAGGCTGAACCCTCAACAGTCTGCATAATCCCCTCACTGATTACACTGTAAATGAACATCTACCTTAACCAAAATCAAAGTAGACTATCACTCATCCACACCAGATGGAAAACTCTATGGACTGTCGGTTCACACCTCATCACAAGCCAGCATATATATATATAGCCAAGGATCCGCTCTTGCGAATACCCTTACAAGGGTATCCTTTTGCAAACAACAGAAGATAAGTTTGGCTTAAGAGTTTAAGTGTACCGCGCGAGGCGCGGCTGCGTCTGTGGTTTACGATTGACTAGATGATTGACTAGTGTAGAGAGTGTGTGGGCGCGCAAGTTTAAGGCACGCGTGATCCTTTTGCTTGTTGATGATTGAAGAGCCGACACGATCGCTGGCCAAGGTTTTATTTCTGATTAAACTAGAATTAAAAATATTTTGTCTCTTGATTGGTGCGCCTGCCTGTGGCTTGAGCATACGTGCGGAGGGCGGCACCGACAACGATGCGACTTCGCTTATGTAGGTGCCTGTTAATACTAGACCCAGCCTTGGGCCTAATACTATTGGTTAATGGTATTGGACTTCTAACTGGGAGATTCGGGGATTGAGACTGAGCGGTGACGAGGCGGTAATATCAAGAGTAGCGCAAAGGGACAGAAGGGTTGAGGACCCGGCGGGGCTATCCCCCTTGGTTTTGCCGCCGTCGGCGTCAGTATGGTACTAGCAGGTTGTTTCTATCATTCATCGTTTATTATCTTTATGATCCGACGCTCCTTGACTCAGGCGCGACGCTGGTTTTAGAGGTCGTCGTGACGGTCGAGGATCTTGAGCGCACGCCCCTTTGGTTGACCTGCGGGTTCCGACATCTTCGGGATGCTAGCAAAATTCCTCTATCCGGCATATCTTGAAATACAGACTGAGGAGGTCAACGTGTGTAGGGTCCGTGGTCGTGACTTCCCTCATTTCCCACGTGGAGAGCATCGATAGCCTAAAGTGGAAGGGAATCTGACAACATTTTGAGCGGACTTGTGGGGCCGCAACCCGACGGCTGTGGGAGGTTTTGAGCGTGAGCATGCCCGCTGGGACCTGAAGGAGACCGAGTTGCAGGGACCGTGGGCCCCCCCCAACTCTGGTCTTTAAAGTACCAAGCTGAATGCTTGCTACTATAGCTGAGATATGAACGGAGCCTCGCCCCGTCTGGGGTGCAGGCCTGTAGCAGGCCCACACCCACGACCTAGTGACTGCTGCAGGAGGGGGCAATGCCCATTAGGAACCCGAAGAAGCGATAGGCCCCGCCTAAGAAAAGAGGACCATAGGGCCAGAGGAATTCCGATAGGGGCCCAGGGCGATATCAACAAGTTGTTCGTATGTGGGGTTTGGGCTAAGAGGGGAAAAGGGTAATCGATCGATGACTGCCCGGTCTTCTCCAAAGTCTCGCGTTAG